CTCTAAACCTTTAGATACCAGAATTTTGAGCCCTTTTGCTGGTGCTCTCTTGAAAATGCTAGCCTTCGTTTGATGTTCTTCTTTGGTATGTTCGGTTTATGTCGTGCAATTTAGGCAGTTTCGCTGCAATCTACGGCGGACTATCTATGCTTATACACGTACACATTTTTTATGCTCCATTTGGGCTCTAATTTCACGTGACGTTAAAAAAGGATCCCCCTGGCTCATCCGTACTATTTGCCTATCGTCATTAAATGCTGTATTTCTTGTTTTTTACGGGCCAAAGTTTCAGTGATCTCATCATTCCTAAAATATTGCATTGTATTCTTAACCCTTCCCCAAAAAAGGTCAAATATTCCATTACTTTCCAAAAATTTTGTACTTTTGGTAACATACCCACAAGATTTTTCTTTCTTTCATTTTCCGTTTTCCATATCCTTATACAAATGCAAAGCTACCTCGAGGACTTTATATTATGAAACGTTATTTTGCCATGTAGTGACTTAATTACGTGAGCACAAGTGTATGTATGTACATATCGATGTATAGCGTTTATATATAATATATACGTACAAGTATGTTATATGTGTTTTAATAGACAATTTTGTAAACAGTACATACAGTCAAAGACAAAATTTAAATATACCAATAAAATTTGCTTATTCATTGAAAAAAACTATTTTAACAAAAATGTAAGTAGGAAGGTTATAGTAAATTATTATTGTATGTATGCATGAATGATTGTGTGTAAGTATGTTAAAAGAAAAGTTTACTCATATTGCAGGGATTTGTCGGGGTCAATGATGGAGGAGGGGGTTTCAATGGATGCTTCATTTCTGAACTTTTCTGAATTATATAGAAAGGCTTTTGTAAGAAGAAAATAATTTAAACTCTCTCTTAAGTTGGAAATCCACAACTTTCGGTATGGTTTGGCTATCATACAATATAATTTAAGTACATTTAAGTTCATATGTGCATATGTATGTACATATGTACACAAAAATAAAATTAATTTACATAAATTAAATTAAAAAAATTCAGCTTTAGTTTTTAGTTTTTTAATTGGTGTGTTTTAGTAATAAAATTTATTCAACTGTTTATAATATCTAAATGCGTACATACATACATACATATACTTATATCTAAATTCGTTCAAACTTTCGTTAAGAAATACTCGTATATACCTACATACTGCGGAAGTACAAATGTACAAACAGATCGTGTCGCCCAGAGATGCAAATTTGTATCTATTATACTCTGTTGTTTTTGTTGTTGTTTAAATCCCACCACCACCACACTTTTAAAATAGAGGGGACTGCCATTAAGGAAGCGGTAGATCACTACCGAAGTGTTGATTTCAGTGGACCAAGTATTAATTTGAGAGCATGACAATGATATGGGCCATGGGCCTAGTTAAGGGGCACACCTAAAAATCGGTATCTCAAATAGTTTTTGAATTCCAGCCTTCTAAAATGTAGTCAGTTCAATCAGCTTAATCAGTTCATTTTTAACGGCCTTTTTTTCGTAACAATAAATGATCCGATTTTTGATTAATTTTTAATTTTTTTTATCGACCATATGTTATTGTACGAACGAAATCTTTTAGTGAAAATTTTTTTAGGTTCTATCAGCGGAGAAGGCGTAGTCTGTGCAAGAGTGGAGGACCTTGCGAGAATTAGGTTAAATCCCTTTATTTCGCCTCTGAACATTTCATGAACACATAAGTTTCTAAGGTATTATATCATCACAATAGACATGTATGATCCCTGATTGCGGATAAAACTATGAGGTATCATTTTTTAATATTAGTTTGCATAGATTGCTTTGCATAGTGGATTCGAATTTAATTTTACTATATATACATTTTGCAAACAATGCGATATAATTACAAATTATATTATCATATAAATGATAGATTTGAATCCGAGTCGTTGAGATTATCTTTAAATGCGGAAGAATATGGTAACCCTAAGCAATATTAGCAAATGGTAACGCCTTAAAGTATGCAATATGTAGTTCTGTTTAAATTCAATTCAACTACAAATATCCATGTATGTGGAATAAATTTAAAATTTACGCGCGTATAGTAATGGTTGTTAATAACTATTGTTTGCTAAAAAGTTCGTTAGTGGTGCATAAGTAAGAGGCTAATGAGCAGGGAATATTAGAAACATTAATAGTTTCATATATGTAGGTAGAGAGACAGAGCATAAATCGTTATTTCAATAACACCTGACCCAATTGAAAAAAATACTTTTATATTAAGGATTATGTTATTTCGCCAATTTGTTTGAGCTTCCAATAACAATTTACAGAATAATAACCAAGCCAGTTTTTTTGTTCTGATCCTCGAGAACCAACACAAGTACTTCAAATCGTTTTGGCTATCCATCTCACTCTTCCTCGAAGAAGCTTCTACAGTTTGAGGATGTGTAATATGTATGGAAATTATGAAATTTTAAGGTTATTGGTGAGTTTGATAAAGTAGAGAATGAAAAATTAATAACAACGCTAAATTGTCCAGTTTTTACAAGACTGAGTTTGAAACATATCGGCAGTCATATCTTCGGCGGATCTAGTGAAATAGCCGGAACTCTTTTTCAATTATTGAGGGATTTTTCTATCAATAATTACGAATAGTTAGATAACATAATAGAACGGCGTTCTCATCTGTCCAAATGGGATCCGTAGCACATGCAGGTCAAACAAAAATAAACCCATTATTTTTGCTTTAAATTGTAGGGTCTTTTTGCATACCGAGAATGATCTGATTTAGATCATCAAAATACGTGTATGCTTAGCTGTCACAGGAATAGTATCATAAATACTATTCATATTCTCAGCTACCTGGCTTGCGTTTTCGCCTTTATTGAAAAAAATCTGGAAAATTTGGCCTATTTTATTTTTACTGGTGTTAAGTATATAAATATAAATGCATAGCGTGGCGAACTGAGTCGATTTAGCCATGTCTATCTGTCTGTATACCGAGCTGAATGTTTGGACATGCCCTTTTCTCCCAAACATGCTACTCACTTACCGGAATTGGCGATATCGAACCACTGCAGCATATACTTGTCATACAAACTGATCGATCAAAATTAACTCCTTCTATAGATAACTATTTTATTCGACAAGATGTCTACACGAAATTTGGTATATACATACATATGTGCCTTTTATATTTTGGCAACACTAGCGTTTTGATCTGGGAACTCCCAACTTTATCGTGTTTTGATGTTATACATACTCAGAACGTTTTGACACACGAGCGCTATTAGAGAAGCTTACAGTAATTTAAAATATTCATCTAGGCCAAAAAATGGAATTAAATTGCAAAAATTTTCGCGCGATTATTTTTTTTTACAATTTTTGTCGTCGACTGTTAGTCAGCAACAGTGCATCGATGAACTTAATTAAAAAAAATTGTTCACGTTGGTTACATACAATTTGTAAATCGCTCAAAAAAAGGCTATCATCGATTGGTCGAGAGAAATATTATAAAGTTATGATAGCGGTGCTATGCCAGACGATGAATTGGCGAATTGATGGATTCAGAACGCATGTTTTGGAGATACCTCAATCAGAGTGGCAATCAGAGTTCAAACGCATGCAAAAGTGTACAGATCTCAATCGAGAATAAGCAAACAATCAAGGGTGTTGTGGAATCCAAGACAGATTAGCGTAGTTATCAGGATTGCAAAGAAACTCTGATTTTCAATGGTGTATTAGAATCTGCTTGGATTTTTGTCTTTTCGAACATATGCAAAAATGTATATTCGAATCCGCTATTTACTAATGTGACAAAACTTGCAAATGAATAAATTTGGAAGCGTTTAATAAATTTTAAATAGTGAATAAAGTCTGCTAAAGTTAACAATGAGTTTCACTATTTTAGCTTTTATTTCATTGGAACAAAAAAGAAACGAAAAAATTAAAAGGAAGATATAAAGAGATCACAGTAATCCACTTTATTCAATCGCATCTTCCAAAAATATCTGAATATTTTCCATAAACCCAATAATTGAGACATTTTGTGATTATTCCTTATATTTTCTCCTATAGAAATAAAGATAAATTAAATCGTAACAATAATATAATTTCTTTACTTATACTTCAAATCTGTTAGCGGTTATCCTTTTGTTTTGTTTCTGATAAGAAAACCGACAAAATTGGTTTCCGTGATACCCAAAACCGATACAATTTCTGCTTCGAACGTCAAACCATTAATATCTGACTGCATTACACCTACTACATTTTTTTATCGGTTTCAATTCTGATTGCGACAACTATCAGGATATTATAGCTCCTTAACATTTCTTCTTGTTTTATTATGGATTCTCCCTTCTCCTTAATTCTTCTCGCCAAGTACTATACAATGAAAGACAACTTGTATTTGATTTTGTTTTTTATACACATATTAATTTTTTATTCGATAATAATTTGCTCAATAATGCATTAATATATATAATATATATATGTATGTATATTTGTTTAATTCAAATGAATACCTACTGACCATATACACCCACATTTAGTATATATGTATGCAATTTTTTTTTCACTGTGTTTTATGCAAATTGTTTTTGTTTTTTTCTTTTATAATTCTGTTTAATTTTTGTTTAGTGTGATTATGTTGTACAATATTGTTGCTGTTGTTGCTATTACGAGTATAAATTGTTCAATGCATTGTTGTATATTTGTATATGATGTACATATACTAGTATATTATTTACGACAACTATAATTTCTCTTTAATTACTTTGTTAGTTTTAATGGTTTTTTGTTAGCTTTTAAGCTTTTAAGATTTATATTAATTTTTTCAAATTTAAGTTTTCAACTTTATGCATACACTTTACTTGTTATCACCTAATTATTTAACATTATATATATGTATGTATATGTATATTCGTACTATATATAATATAACATATTTCATGCTCTTGCATTGTTTTTATTGTTGTTGTTTATATGTAGCTATGCATTTTTATCGGTTTGTAGACATTTAAGGTGGCATTAATAACTAAGTTATACTTCTTTTCTATGTGTGTGTGTGTGTGGCTAGTAAGTGTGTTTGTAAGTGCTTATGTTTGTTTTGTGCCTTCCGTTGTATTTAACTATATTTTAAAAATATTTTATTGTTGTAAATATGTATATATGTTTGTATGCATGGCTACTACTAAGGTAATCTATTGATTTTCGTTACATATTTCGGTTTAATTTTTTCGTTCGCCAAAAATCGTTTGGAAACTCTATTTATGAACTTAGGGGTGAGCAAGTAGGGGAACACATACAAACAAGTTCTTTACATAAACGTTTGCTATTTAGAAAAACATTTTTTCAACAATTAGCAGTATCACTGTATCATATGTTTGTATTTTTGTTAATAATTAATCGAAATGAAAATTATTAATTATTTTATGCATTTCGTACTTTATAATAGTTATAATAATAACTAATTTACAGTTAGTACTTTTTAAGCTAGAAAAATGCAATGGCGCTTATGCTAAGTTTTACTTGTATTTGTTTTTGTGTTTTGATAGAGCAAACTTATTGTTTTGGCTGGCAACACAAGAAGGTCACAGCAGCACGGCAGAGTTGCATTGAAACCATGAAACTAGAGCAATTAAGCAGTATATATGTACAAGTGTATGTGTGTGCGTGTAGCTTAAAAGTAAGTGTTTATAACCTACAAATTCGCAACACCAGCTATTGTATATTCAGCGTGAGTTATGTAAATGGCGTTAATTGAGTTTGAAAATGGAAAATGAGAATTTCAGTTTTAATTATATTATTAGAAAAGTACTTGAAAAATAAGCTAATATAAGTTTTATATTATATAATAGTAATATAATTTTAATAAAATCTTATTGAATAAAAAATAATATTATAATAACAATAAAACTTTATTGAAAATAATTTTTTTTATAAAATTATACAACTTTATTAATATAATAATAATAAAATTTTATTACTTTTTTTTTAAATAAAAATAAATTTTATTAAAAAAAATTATATAATTTTATTAAAAAAATTACATTAATTAATAAATGAAATTGTTTGCTAACTAAATTAATTCAGCAGTTAAATTTAGCATTCGAAATTCAATATTCAAAATAAAATATATATGTATTGTATATATAACTACAAGTACACACAAAAATATTTGCCGGTAGTACTTCTCTAAGTATAGCTTAACTGTACGTGCCTGTTTGCTTTAACAATTAACTTTTGATATACATACATATCTAGATTTCATATACTTAATTTAAAAAATATTTTATGCTATTACTTACACATACATACATATATAATGCTGTGCATGCTTTATATTTTACTTTAAGTCATTTAGCAGATCAATATAAAAATACAAAAAGCCTGGAAAAGTGTGCCTTCACTATCAAATTTGTGTTTATAGTATTGTAGATTGTAAATATATAAATATGTGTGTACATATATGCACATATACAATATATTATATAAATGTATTTTTGTATATAAGAACAGATCCATTTTGTATGCATAAACTTCAGTTAGACATTTAATATGTATTTTTATTGAAATTTTTTTGTTATTTTTAATATCTTTTTTTAATTCATAAACATTATATTTAATATTTTGTTCATTAATTTAAGGCATTACTTTAAGCATATTTAACATGCATAACAGAGAATTCAAAAATATTAAAAAAAAATTAATTTTATAACATTATACATAAATAATCCATTGAAACGCTAAAAAAATATATTAATTTTCAAATAACTAAATATATGTATGTACATACAATAAAGTTTAACTGCAGCTACGCTTAACATTTACCAATATTTACAAAATATACGCTTTTCATTTGAAATGACCAACTTGGATTGCTATAATTTCGTATCCAAGTGGCTGAGAGTGAAAGTGACACGTCGTAAGTCGTAAAGTGAATCGTTAGTGTTCGTTTGTAAACGCTAAAGTGTCGTTTAATTGTTTGTGGCAAGAAAGTAATGCTACTTAGGGTCGTTAAATTGCATGGGAAATCATTACTTGGAAGTGTTGCATTACAATTTGAGTTCAAATATGTCTCCTTGAAAAAATTAAAAAAAATTATTATGCGAAAATAGATTTCAGTTGTAAAGCTTTTTAGTATACAGTGGTAAATTTTTCAAATATATACATATATGTATGTGTATGTTTAAACATTCAGCAATTCAGTTTGTATACATTTTATTCTAATCAGTTTTTTAAAATCGTACAACTTTTCATTTTTTTTTGATTTTTCATAAATCCCTAAACAATTTTTTTATATTTTTTGTTATATTTTTAAAAAAAACTTTCATACATAGAACTATAAAATGCTTTTTGTATTACCGATTTTCATAATTATGCGAGACAATTGCAATATAAATATTATACAATTATTAAATAGATTATAACAAGAAAAAAAAATAATAATAAATAAAATAATAATAACAAATAAAATAATAATAATAAATAAAATATAACATTTAACTATTATTTTAGTTTCAATTATCCAAATTAATGAAAAAAGAAAAATTAATTATATAAAGCATTTGATTAAAAATCATATGAGTTTTACCAAAGTGAAAATGTAAGTCTTAAAAAAAAAAAAATAAATAAAAAGAAAAAATAAATAAAAAGAAAATAAGTAAAAATTAATAAATAAAATTAAAATAAACAAATGTCATTAAATTTACTTTTATTAGGAAAATACGAAAACAAATTTACTAAATTGAAAATGTAAGCCTTAAAATAAAAAAAAATATTAAAAATAAATTTAATAATATTAAAAAAATTTTTTTTAAAACATTGTATTCAAATATGTTTTATAAAGAAAATTTTCATCAAAATATAGGTAACAAACAAAAGAGAATTTTAATTTGTCCCGCAAAATATGTGAACCAGCAAATAATATAATATAATTTGATTTTTACATGATTAGCTTCCCAAAAGTTTGGTCACGCTTTATGAAACTTCTTTAATAAAAATACTTGTTAATTTCAGCAGTTGTTGTTTTTGTTTTTACATTTTTCACTCAGTACTTTCTGCTTATGCTACAAATAACTGCATATGCATGTTTGAGTGTTTGTATTTAAATTTTCCGTTACATTATTTGTGCAGTATAATTTGATTTAGTTTTTTATGATTTTACGTACTATTTTTCCATACAACAACAGCAAGTAAACATCAAATTCCATGCAATTCAGTTCAGCTTGTTCTATATTATACTTTCCATAACTGTACAGTTAATATGTAAACATTTTTTGTTTATTAATTCATAAAAATTTCATTAAGCCTACAATTACTAACATTAACAGATGATTTTTGATTTTGATTCAAAACTCCTTCAGACTGCCACCTCGTTTTAGTTTGGCGAAACGCTTAAATCCCATACCGCTACTGCTCGCCAAAAAGCCGCTTTCCTTGCCGCGCACATTGAGCGTGCTGGCGCTGAGCACGCCCAGCCCACGGTTGGGGGCGCCGCCATTGCACACACGCTCACGCGACATGTAACTGCCGCGAAAGCGCACACGACCGCGACGCCCGATACGCTGCAAGGGGCGCCACTCGAACTCCTGCGATTATAACTTTTTCTCCCACACCACAATGTGTGCGTCGTTCGAGTTGGCGATTAGTGGTGTTGAGGCGCCACTGCTTAGCGTTGCCGATTTGCTGTTCGGCGAGTTGGCGTTGTTGTACCAGACGTGTCGCCAGTAGCCGCGTCCGCCCATCAGCGTGATAATGGTGCGCGGTCCGTCGGCATTTTGTTGCTGTTGTTGTTTGTTCGTTTGCTTTTGTTTACGTTTGAGTGTCGCTACAGCAGCGGCGGGTGGTGGCGTGCATGCGCCGCCTGCATTTGTGCCAGCATTCTTGGTTTGCTTTATCTCCAACAATTTGAAGCCATCATCGGATTTGGGTGTGCTGTGATGTTGGTGTATTTCGGCGCTTGTCATTAGTCCATTCTCGGATATGTTACCCAAATCACTGCCGTTGCCTGAGGTTTTGTGACTAGCGCTGCTGCTGTTGCGCGATACCGAACGTCCGCCGAAGAGGCGTATGCCCATGCTTTCTTCACTGCCCGATGATGTGTAGAGGCTAGATGATTTCGAGTCTACCGACCAGTTGGAGAGATCGAGTGAACGTGGACGTGAGGCCTTCATGCGCAAACGGCGATCCAGTGTGCTCACCTTACCGGGTATGGCCGCCAATTCGGGGTCGGAACGGCGCATGCCTTCGTACATCATGTCCATGAGATTGCCCTGCGTGCCCTCCTCTGCGTCGTAGTCCTCCTTCACGAAAATCAGTTTACCATACAAGCCGTAGACGTCACAGCAGCCATGTTCGCTATGATTGAGCGTGCTCGTGTTTGAGTGCATGCTCGTGTTGAAGCCACGTGGCAGCGTCTTGGCCATGCGCGCCGAGTCGGAGGAGAGATCACGGAAACGTTTGCGATGGAAAGCTGGCGAGTTGACGAGCGAAGCGCGTAGTTTCGATAGCGATTGATCGAATGAATTTTGCTTATCCAATTTGGAACAACGCGGCGAAGAGGCGTTTGAGTCACCATCCACGCTAAGTTCGCGCAACATCGAAGCTGAGGGTGAAGCAGTGCCCGAGAATGATGACTCATCCTTTGGCAAGTCGCGACGTAGTATCACCGTCGATTCGTCCAGATCGGCTTCTGTGAGTTTTTTGGGATCGGCATCGATTGCGGGCAATTGTAGGTCATCACCCATGCTAGGCACTGTAACGGTGGGCTCCGCACAAAAGGCGACAGGCAGCGTTTGTGTCGGTGGCTGTTTGTAGCTTGGATAAACGCGCGGTATAAGTGGCAGCAGAAAGGTGATCGGACCAAAGTGTGCATGGCAAGACATATTTATGCCGCCGCTGATAATCGGCACACCTTCGAGTCGTGGTAGCGGTATGGTAACGGCAATACCAACATTCGTGCCAACCCACAGCAAACCCTTGCAGGCCATGAGCGCAGTTACATAAATGGAGCTATTGTTAACTGATTGCTCCTTCTTGCCATCGCTCCGCAACACACTTGAGGCAATATTGATATCCTGCAAATGCTTAAAGGTCTCTGTGTGATACAAACACAAAACAGTTGAATTTTTCAGCGAGATCCATAAACCGATGCCGGAGTGTGCCATTAAGTTGACCTGTTGATTGGCACCATGTTGCACCTCAAAACTCTTCTGTATCTCACCGTTGAGCGCATTCAGCACATATACGCGATTCGCGCACGAAGCGTAAATATTCATATTGATTGGCAATAGACTTGGCACTGGCAGACCAGATTCGCCCAACAGCACCACTTGTGGGTCTTTAAGCATCCAGACGCCATCGTACGAACGACGATAAATGAGCATTATGGCATTTGAGAGCGCCACATAAACGACATCGAAGTGATAGAGTATACGCGTAACGGCGCCAGGTACAGTGCTGCAGCCCAATTGCTCCTCCTGTTCGGGGTTTTGTGCTGAGTAAATCAATATTTTACGACTGTCTGTGCCCATCCACACTAGATCGCCTAGCAGGCTATTGTGCTCTTCACGTTTCTTCACACTATCCAGTCCCTTGACGAACTCCATGGCGGTAATCTGAGTCTCGACCAAGTCGAAGGAGCCCACATCACGCAGATTACCGGCCTGTTGATGATGTTGCGAGAGCACTGCTATATGTGAGGATGTGCCGTCGCTAGTACAGACCCATAGGTAGTTCTGTTGTTTGTGACGACGGCGTGCGTTGCCGCTTAGCTTTAAGTCGTTGGCGATAGTATAATAACAACCACAGCGCACCTGCGTAGAGAGAGTTCGGAACATTGAGACAATTGGTAAAATCAAAAAACGAATGTAGAAACTCACCTCTGTTTGATGCTGTGACTTGTAGACTGGTATCGCCTTGACGAAAAGTGGCAATTTGGTGGATTGTCGCTGCATTACATGTTGTTGCTGCTCGTAGCTATTGCCTAGTGATTGTGGCTCTGTTGAAGTGGACGTCTCCCAGGCTGGCGAGTTGTTCGGGTCTAAAGCCAATTGTGCTAAACGTAGCTCCGTGATCCATTCCTTCTTCACATTCGGTGTTTGTGTCTGGAATGTGTAGGTCTCCTCTTTGCCCGACTTGTTGCGCGCTATCAATTGCAGACAACACGAATCAACCCAAGCCATTTCCTCATCTTTGCGTTGTATCGAGGCTTGTATGGTATTCAAGACATTACGTGTGGTATTCGTATTGAGCTCTTTGTATGTGCCCTTTAAGGTGCTGACGAGATCGTGTATACGTGAGATTACTTCATAATCGTACATGAGTGTGCTCATCTCGGAGCAGAGATTATCGGCGCCATTGGTGAGTTGTGCAGCTGGTGAGCTGTCCAATGAGTGACCACCATGTGAGTGTGTGGCATTGATTGGTAGCGTATTGGAGTGACTGTTGTTGCAGGAGCTACTGTTGGACTTGAGACTTCCACCGCGATTGAGACCTGCGAAAGGGGATGTGAGAAGTAAGTTGACGAAGGGAACGAGGCTTAATATAATACTTTTTAGATTAAATCGAGTCTGCGTTATCAGCATGAACCCTAATTCGCGTAAAGCTAAAGTTTGTTACCGTTATAATTTTTTATAGACATACCGTAAATGAATTTGGATTTAAATCAAGATTCGTAAACGACTATATTAAATTGTTCGAAGAATAAATAGAAAATAATAAATTTCAAACCATTCTATGTGTAGTTCGAGTTTTGAGGTCTAACCTAGTTTTTAAAAAAAACAAAATTAGAAATTATTCTACAGAAATAACATCACTATTCTGCGACTATTCCAAACATAAAATCAGCTTTAAGGCCAAGACAATTTTAACCGACTTTTACTGAGAATACTTATGAACTCACCAGCAGTTAATATTCTCGAGAGCGTTGCGGAAGTACTATTATCCACGATTTCCACATCTGTCACTGGATACATCCATTTGAAACTCAGCTTCTCCGTAGCGCCAAAATCATGTGACTGCTTCGGTGCGACCGAAACACAAATCACCTTATCATTGAGCAATAATAGACGACGCTGCTTGGACTTCACAATAAGACCAGCCTGATTGAACTCCACATGTGTCACATTATCCTCGCGTAGAAGATAACGCGCACGATTGCCATCTGTCGAGGTGAGTGAGCGTGCATTAAAAGTGCCGGTAATGTGGCCCAACATCTCTTTGAAGCCTTGATATTGTTCAGCTTCGCGTTTACGCTCGTTTAGCATTTCAGCGAGTAATTCCAATTGTGTCAGCGCCAATTGTAGCGACATACGATCGTGGTGGCCTTGTGGCGTATACTTGAGTATATCCTGTAGAAAGAGAATGAATTGTGGAAAACGTTGCACTGGTTTAACCATCAGACCGAAGAACGAGAGACGATCGTGTGCGCTAATTTGTTTGACTTTGAAGAAATCAGCTAACGCTGATTTACGTTTCTCCTCCATTTTGGCGAGTTCCATGGCTGCTGAGAAATTATTTATGAAGCCCGAGTAGATTTCGAGTATGCGCGGCTTGCTGAAGGCATTCACAAAGCAATCGCCCAAACGCTCGTCACGATCCCAATTGCATACGCATTCGGCGAGTGAGATGCGGAATAATTTGTGCGATTGCAGAATCTCGGGCAGGCGATGAAAGAGTGTGGCGATTTTGGAGCCACTCAAAATAGGTGGGTTGCTCTCTTCGAGAGGTTTCTTATAATCCTAAATATAGAGATATATATAAAGCAAATGTGAATTAATGAATTTTTATAAAAAATGGCTAAGTAATTAAATAGAAGAGAGTTTTTATATGAGAAAATAATAAAAAATTTGCATGATTAACGAACGTCCGATTTTTTGAAGAATTCTTCAAATTGAAAATAATTTATAAATTTATATTTTATTTATATATTCTTATTTTAATTTGAAATAGCTGTTTTGAGTTATAAAATATAGAAACTCTCTAAGAAGATAATTTTAAATACTTTTGTTTAGTAATTGAGTAATGAATTAGTAATTATTTGGACTTGTACCTATTGTAATTATGCTAACAGTTTGGTGGTTTCGGTTACTAATTTGGTAACTAAAAGTACGGTTTTTTTATATAATTTTTATTATTTTTATTATTTTTTGTTTTTGGATAGGTTCAGTTACATTTTGATAATTTCGTTATTTAATTAGTAGTAGATTTGGTAGTAGTAGTTGTTAGTAATGGTGATGGTGATGCAATTAATGCGTGACGTAGGATTTGGATGGCATGTAAAGAAATAAAATTCGTATGGTTAAAATGGATGATAATATACTTAATCAAGTTGGCTTGTAAGTTTTAATATGAGCTATATATGCATAAAATATATATATGGTATGTACGCAAAAGATGCTTAACGGTGAATATTAATGTAAGAGAATGTGCGAAAAATGTATGAAAATGTGCAGTATGTGAACGTGAGTAAAATATGTAATTATTAGCCTCGTTTTTTTCTAAGCAAGTAACAAAAGAATGCACAATCAGCTATAATTTTTTCTTAAAGCATTTAATCGCTCTCCGTTGCATGAGAAAATATACATTAATACTAAATCAAATAAATTATTCATAAATTATACTTTAATACTAAATACTAAATCGTTAAGTGGGATCTTGTTTTTTGCATTTTCTAAGAAAAACTAACCATACAGTACATATTTTTTATACCATTAGAGACTTTAACAAACATAGAGCCTACTGACTTTAAAAAAAAAAAAACTAATATTTTGACGTGCGTATTTTTGATTTAAAATGAGGTTTATTCGGATTTTGGGTCGAAATTACTTTCCTCTTTAAAATTTTCCAAAAAAAAAAAAAACCAAAAAAAAACGGTGTATCTGGGACAGAAGGAGGTCAATTTACACCTAATTTCGCGAATGAAATTTTATATTTCTACAAGATAAAAATTAAAACAAGAAAAAGCGTTAACCGAAGGTATAATAATACTTTTTACAAATACAAAAGATTTCAAAAGAATAAATAAACTTTATTCCGATCATTCAGTTTGTTTGGCAGCTATATGCTATAGTCATCCAATCTAAACAAATTCTTCGGATGCCTCAGACAATAATTGATGCCAAATTTCGTGAACATACCTCCTCAAATGAAACAGTTTTCCATACAAACACTTGATTGCGATCGTTCAGTTTGTATGGCTGCTATATGCTATAGTGGTCCGTTGACGGCAATTCCGACAAATGAGCAGATTGGACAGACGGACATGGCTAAATCGACTCAGCTCGTCATACTGATCATTTATACATATATATGCCGTTTCCTTCTGGGTGTTACAAACTTAATATACCCTGTTCAGGGTATACAAACTTAAAAACTTGGATATTTGAATTTTTCACATACATTTTGAGGTTATGTAAAAAGAGTGTCTATATAAAAGTTGTAGATATTCATAATACCTTTTATAGAAAAAAATAAGTGTTTTAACTAAGGTGACAAAACAAGAGCTTGTGCGACTGTGATTAAGCGCTGATATTTCATTAGAGCTTTTTGAAAGCTGTTAATATATTTTGTAAGGTCTCAGTCTGTAGATCCGAAAAAATATATGTAAATATAAATATAAACGGAACTATTAATAAATAAATAATAACGACCACAAGGGTTTTAATTTCGAATTCTTTTTCAACGACTTTGAATTGAACTATCATTAAAATACAGCTGGCTAGAGAGCACGAAAGACAATTTCTGCAAAGATTTTATGCCACCTACTTTCTACATACAGGCACGACGAGAATAAATATATCTGAACTAATCATAATTTTAAATCCTAACGACTTTCTGTCTGATCACATTGACGAAATTATACAGGTTTTGCTGAAGCTGCCACGACATTTCGGCCTATGTAACTGGAACGGAAGCGAAATTTTACAATCTTGCAGCATAGCTTAATAGAGGCTATTGACTTCTGGACGATTGCTTCATTCAGAGGGTCTAATTGTGAACAGTACAGGCCCGATTTAAGAGTAGTAAAATCTTGCTAACCTTCAACCGTGGCTTGGGCACCTATTGTGCCAGCTGAGTAATCATCTTTTTCAGATCGACTTGATCGAGGTCGAGCTCTTTTTGTATTCAGCCGCAATTGCACGTGTTTGGCTGTTACAGTATTAGATCCCTAAATTCGCATTTTCAGTCGCCTGACTTGCGTTTTCGACTTTATCAAAGAAAAACTGTAAAATATCACTTATTTTCTCTTTCCTTTCTTTGCATCTATGAAGCGTGCTCAAATAACACTAAGTCATGGAATCAAAAAACTGTCTGAGAAAATTTTTCGAACTTATACAACGTGAGACGCTGATTACTAAAGTCATCTATTTAGAAAATAATGACTTTATTTTTAATATACCTGATATAAATTCTTTGTTTCATGAGATGTTTCTTAAACATGTATCGATGGTCTTTCGTGAGATTCCTTTAACTGGCTGATCGGGTTGTTGGGTGTTTAAAAAGCGAGTTAGGATTGGTGAAAGTTAACTCAAAGACAGTACTTTAGTCTCTTTAAAAAGTCTACATATAGTTTTCGTTGTGCTTTTTAAAATTTGTGATTCACCATTAAGCCTCTTCTCTAAAAGAAAACTATCCATGCAAATCATTATTCTACAAAATATCTTTGTAAACTACAGGCAACACTACAGCAAACTACACATATGTATGTATTTGAGAGTAGTTATAATGCGATTTCGAATAAATTGTTTACGTACATTGACTAGACGTTGCAAAGTGGCCACATATGAGTTCTCGCTGTGCACAATTGCAGCCACAATGTGGCGCCGCTTCAGCTGCTGCTGCGATAGGCCCGGCGGTGCGGGTGGCAGCATTGGCGTGATGAGGCGGGTGTGCGCAATGTTTGCCGAGCCATTGGCGCGACTGCCTGGCGGTAACATTAGATCCAGGTCAAAACGCGATGCCGTTAAGGCGGCCTCTTCATCGTCATTCTGTGCAAATGAAAGCAAAATAAACGAAAATGTTAAATATTCCGCGAACGATTTTCGAATGCACGAGCACGTGTCTGATAGTCTGATACACACCTCTGGTACGCCGGGCATTTTGTTGGCGCTCAACTTTTGTGGCGATGCATGTGCCGAATCTCCGCAAGCTGACAACGCTGCGGCATCCGGCATATCAATGCTGGATGTGGTCGATTGGCGGCCGCCTACATCGTACTGGTGTGATGAGCCGCGTCGTATCGAGAACCAGCGTGAGAGCCGGCCACCCGGCGATTCACCTGGTGTGGTGATGTCATCACGTGCACTTTGGTGTGCTGTCGGCATGGTGCAGGCGCTAGCACGTCGTGTTTGCGTGCTGTTGCCACTGTTATCAGCGGCGCCGTTGCTGCCCAACACCGAATGGGTTGCGGAATTGTTGGTGGATGTGTTGTTGGCAGCGTTTCCACTGTTCGAGGAACTCGTGCGCCATTTGTCAAAGGACAAATGCTGTTTGGCCTTGTTGAGTGTGGAACGCAATTGTGAATTGCGTTGATTGGTGGCGCTCAACGACGTCACGCTGCTGCGTTCACGTTCACGTTCGTCCTCCGTTGCGGCTTCGTCGTCCGAAGCTGAGTGCGTACTGTTGGCGTTGGCGGTGGCCTCCTGGTCTATCGATTGCTCGGAACACCAACTGTCCTCGGATTGTACGGAACGTGTGGAGGCGTTATGTTCGAGACGTTTCTTTGTTGCGGTATTTACAGTGGCGCCGTTTTGACTGTTGTTAACGGTTTCGGTGGTTGCAGTTGCGGTGCTTACACCAACGGCCGCTGAGCCGCCGTTGGTGCTGAAACTTCCGCCGGCAATTGTGTTGTTTGTGTGCGCAACTAAGGCGGTTGCGGTGTTTTCCGCTTCGTTAGATGGCCGGCCGATGCTGCTCGGACTGCCACAGCTTTTACTATGCTGATGATGATGGTGCTGTTGTTGTTGTGATTGATATTGTTGCAGCGGTGCTGCAAGCGTGCTGCTATTCAATAAAGTGTGTAGACTGTTATATGAGGAGCGCGAGGCGTTCAACGGGTCGGGGCGATGCAACGAAGCGTTGTTGGCGTTGTGATGCAATTGTGCCGTAGTAGTAGTCGTGATGCTGCCGTTGTTGCTATCGCCGAGCGGTGATAGCTCAGTGCTGTTAATATCAAGTTTAGGTAGGGAGTCCTCCCACGAACCAGAATTCAGCTTAGATTCATCTGTAAAGGAAAAAGGACGCAAATTGAATGCGATTAAAGATCGTACTTTAATTTAAATTAAATTAATAACCTATATATTTTTGTCTTATAGAACACATACAACCTTCTGAATGCGAGTACCTTTGAATTTTTTTTCAGCCGAAGTAACAAATATTGGAATGAGTGATTGGGTGTAATTGGATCAAAACAAGAAAAAACGTAAACGTCGGTTGCACCATTTTCCATACAAAACTTGCTTTCGACTCAGTTTATATGCAGCTATATGTAATAGTGGTCCGATATACTAAATAATATTTAAGGACTTTAGCGTTGTCTTGGCTTATAATTGGTTTCAAATTTCGTGAAGTACTTTCGACAAATAAAAAAGTTTTCCATACAGGGACATGACCTTGATCATTCAGTTTGTATGGCACTATATGTTAGATATCGGCAGTTCCGACAAATGAGCAGCTTCATGAGGAGAAAAGGACGTGTGCAAAATTTTAGATCGATACCTCATAAACTGAGCGACTAGTTCGCGTAAATACAGACGGACATGGCTCAGCTCGTCATGCTGATCCTTTATACACTAAATACCTTATAAGGTCTACGCCATTTCTTTCTGGATGTTAAAAGCATCGTGGCAAACTTAATATTATCTGTTAGGGGTATAAAAATGCGAAAAATGTTCGGGTATAATTGGCATCTTATTATATAGAATTTACCAAAGAAATTTGTATATGGCTCATCACTCGCGATTGGGTCGGTAAGTAATAAAACTTACAAAATACGATTTCATTAGAAATCCTCAACGGAAATCTCTTAAATGTGTTCGTAAACATAAAATACTGCAGAAATAAATTAAGAAATTTGTGAAGAAATCTAAAAACCTTTCAAATCTTTGAAACCTTTTCTCTTCTAGTAAAATCAGACCCCTGCTAAAGCTCTAACATTTCAAAAAATACTGAGATATTTCGCATTTTGCGCACATACATACAAACACATACAAATATATCAGATTAAGAGTGAAAATATGCTGAGATTTAAAAGTGAAGAGTCACGGTCATCGTTTGTCAATGAATAAAAGCAATTGAAAACTCATTTTCGTACAGAAATTACGCACAACAAACATTAATTCGACAAGTTTCGTTTATCTCTGGGCATTTCTCAACACCATTAAAGTCCATTAAATCAACAAGCGCAAGTAGCTGTCGGCAACTTAAGCGCAAGCGGCCAAGTGAACACATACTACAATTACAATAACAAAATAACTCGTAACGCACACAAACAAACACTCAAAGCAATAGCGTATACTTTTTACTATACTTACAAGTATAAATACATATTTTTATTCTTTTTTCACTGGCCATTTTCTTTGATTGTTTGCGGTGCCATAAATGTTGGCGAACGCTGGAAAGTGTTCTTTAAGCGCGCCGCCCACGCTGCGGCAAATTGAATCCACGAGCTGGAGCACTGCTGGCTAACTGTTGCGCGCTCTTTTCATTTTAATTTTCGCAAATTTACATTTTAGCACAGAAAAGCAAAGAATTACACACATACATGCATTATTACAAATAAGATTCGTTACTGCCCAGTGTACAACTAGTGTGCACCACAAACCCAACTAGTTCGCCGACTGACTTTACTTCATACAAGCAACCGGTAGTTTTTCCTTCTTGATGTTCTACGAAATGTCGACTGTCGAAAAAGACCAACACATAACTAGTCCGATAATCGAGCAAAGTTATTTGTGTAAGGGGTTACATGGGCTTCGCGGCTTCAAAATAATAGATGTCAAGATTTCTCGCGAACTACTGAACCGATCTTAATGAAATTTTACACAGGCCTTTGATATATAATTTACAAGGTCTTGCCGCGGAGGATTTTTTTTTGTTTAATTACAACTATTTAAAAAAAAAATTTGACCGAAATTTTCATTTTGTTGGAAAAATGTCTGTCAAAATTCCAATTTTAACTTTTTTTATCCTCCGTTCAAGCACGAGTTTATGGTTTTAACTAAAACACTTATTTTTTCTTTCATTTTAGATGATCCTGTCAGGAGTTATGCTGACAACGCGGACGCACCTTTTTTTCGAGGGGTCACCGGAAATGACATTACAATGGCGGAGTTTTAAATTTCTTAAGACAGAAAAAAGTTTGAATTAAATACATAATATTTTATATAGAAACAAAATTATTGAAAATAGGCCTTTTTTTACCCGACGAAACACATGTAACCCCTAATAAAATAACTCAGTAATAAATTGGTAATTCGTTCTATAGCTGGTATAAATCTGGTGCTTTCCGGACTAGTTGGATATCATTTAAAAACTTGTAGTTGTAATCTGGTATATTTCGCGACTAGTTTAATGTTTTATTGCAGGCAATTACAGTTGCACCCATATGCACTTATATATATATATATACATCCTTAGCATTTGTCTTGTAGGTATTATGTTTATGGTTGTTGTACTCAGTCGCTTGAGGCAGCTTCATTTAAAAGCGTTTCTTTTATGACCAATAACAGTGCACATTAAATATTATGAGTTTTGAAGTCATGAATGACTTAAATGCGATGTTTGTCACGCGCTTAGTTCTTATTCCTTTTGCGGCAATGCAAATATGATTTTAAAGATAAGAGCAATAACAAGCCAAGTACAAGTTATAAATGGCAAGCGGTAGTCCGAGAGTATTGTTTATATATTTTGTGCTACTCATATCATATGTTCATTAGGGTGGTTCAATTAAGTTATAACTTCAAAAAGCTTATACCAAATCCCTATCTCTTTTGATATTATTACAGACATTAACAATCCTCTTCCAGAAAGCTAGTGGATTATAGTTGCCGTTATGCTTTCGTTGAAGTCTACAGAAGGCAGTCTACTTAAAAACGCAGATAGCAACCTTGAGTTTACATTTTTGAGCAGCATTTGGAAAGTATTGTATTCGCCAGCATTGCTGAAGAGCTTAAAGAGCAATAAATATTTCGCGGATAAATTTTGGTAAATTAATCTATTTGAAACGTTCGCAATTAAATATCAAAAGTAATATATACATTATATCTTAAAAGATACACAGTAAAAAACAAAAAACCAAATGCCATTGAGCATGATCGATAAAATCATTAAAACTGTGAAAGAACTTTGCTCCGGATTTCTGTAGTCAAGTGAGTTCAGCTTTTAGCATTTTGGAATATTATTTATTTGGAATAAAAGCAAAATATGACGAGGACTTTATTGCCGTTTTCCGCGAAACAAGTAATTTACACAACAAAATATATTCAAACAGCTGATCGCAGCGTTACCAGATTGTAATAGTAAATTATTAAGCTTTCAATACTCGTATTATATTACTAGGAAAATTTAACTAGTGTAAATATACCGTTTTTAACACTAGTTCTTGGTTGAACATGGCTGCTGATATATAATATAACTCTATTATCTTACTTATTTCTCTTTTTTGTACCCTCAACAGCTACAGCTTGACGATCTCGAGTCCATTGTCATGCCATGTCCTCCTGTCTGTCTGTCCGTCCGTGCTTCTGTATATACGCGAACTAGTCAATAACTTTTTGAGATATCGATCTCTTTTCTCTTCAAAAAGCTGCTTATTTGAAACCCCCTGATATCGGACCACTAAGGCATACTATATGTAGCTGGCATACAAACTGACCGACCAATATCAAGTTCTTGTATGGAAAAATTGTTTATGTCTGAACCTTTCACCTGGTGCAACCGAAGTTAACGCTTTTGCTTGTTTCTTTTTTTTTAAACTTTTTCTAATGTAATCATAACATGATAGCAACAAAAAATTGCACCACCCTCGTTTGAAAACACATTTTTACGTATGTATATATATCTAAATATTAATTATTTTTACCACATTTTATATGTAGATGAATGTGGGTTTTACAAAACATTAATCTTGAGTGACTGATTCAATGAGTAATCATATAATTGAATGGCTAATGTGAAAGTGTGTAGTATATTAGAATAAATATACATATCTACGCTGAATCATTTGCATGAACGTAGCCAAATATGTAAGAAAAAACTGACTGACATTTGGATTTAAGCTTGCATACAAAAATTTATAAATGTTTTGTAGCGATTTTAATCCATTTTCAAATTTAAAGTATAAGTCCTTGGTATTGCAGAGCCGTAGCTAAATGTCCTATAACTATATGTTTGCAAAATTTGTTTCAATTTAGTAACAGCTTTCTTTATCAGAGATTATTGATGAAAACAAAAGACGAAACTTTCGCACATAAAAATTATAAACCTATTTACGTTGTTAATAAGGTATAAGTATGTATGTAAACCATATACAAATAAATAAGTATGCATTTATTTGACTTTGACAAAGGATTAGCTGTTAATCCTTCTGGGAATTATCAGCCAAATTTCACACACATGTATATGTAAGTATGCATGAGTATATGTATTTAATGTCATTAAGTAGTTCATTGAACTATTAAGTTTAAGATGTTTATAAATATGTGCAAATCTGTTAAGCTATTTAAGAGATTTTTGAGATTACAAGTTCATTTGATTTTATAACTTTACTTACTCTCATTTTATTTTAAATATGCATACGTAGTAAAATCAGTAAAAGTGAATCCCTAATACAAATATATAAATAAATATACATATATACCGCCCTTGTTCCATAATATCTCTAGTTTTCATGAAGAACAATTTGAGTAATAAATTCTGTTAGATGTAGTTCCGAGAAGTTGGTAGCTGTACCAAGGTACCTCACCTGGAACCAGTTCATTCATGCGACTATACGGACTAAGGAAATATAACATAGCAGCTTCAGGAGTGATTAAAAGGATGGTAGACGTTAATATAGTTCTACGCCTGCTTTAAGGTCTACAATATGAAAAAATTATTTGAGAAAGTTTGTGTACCAAAAGCTTGAATATGCTATACAGTTCAACCGGATATGGTATTATTCTTCGAATTGTGATTGTATTGCGAATTGGCACTAATGCTCAATCTTAAGCCTTTCAAGCAGTC